TACTTTTTTATCTTTAACCTGTGATTAGTGTTTAATATTTTCTGTAGCGAACACAAACCCACTACTATTTTACAAATATAGTATGCAAGTAGTCTTTTCCCACAGCAGTGTCAAACTGGAAATTTTTAACCTTTTTTAAAAGCCATACTGCACTGTGCATAAAATCCATAGGGTATGGATTTTAGATTAATTGAAATGGCTTATTGTTTGATTGCTTGAAAAAAACTGTCTTGAATATAAATCTGCAAAAATTAACTTGAATTATCCCCACTTAGACAGATTCCCTGGGTGCAACTCATTAGAGTAAAGCAGGATTCAACTCCTTCATCAAGTGTGCTCTCCTCTCTCTCTTGAATTAGGTTGACTCAGTAAAAACAAGCACAGGATTTTTAATACTACCACTGTCCTGACATCACATATTATAAGGCTGTGGCTCAATGTCATACTTGATAAGAAGCAGCTTTTAGAAGTTGATAAAGTATGAATGTGCTTTTTATGTATGCAGCAAAAACATGGAAAATGTCTTTGCTATTAGAAGACAGGTAATTTTATTTAGGTTTTTATAGTGTATTACTTTATGTATCCCTTCTCATGGCAGGGGTGGTGGAACTAGATGATCTTAAGGTCTTTTCCAACCCTAAATATTTAATGATTTTATGTAAGAAACTGACTATGAAAATTTACCACATCTGTTTAAAAATGCACTAGATCTTTATACTTACTACATACGTTGTACATGCAAAGGACTGAGCTTCTCCCTGCTGCTGATTTAATAAATTTTAAGTTTAAAAAGAAAAACTAATTAAAAGAAATAGCTTGGCCTATATATGAGTCTGGACAATGCTTTTAAAAGTAATTACCATTTTATTATATCCATATACCAAGGGTTTTATTAAAATTCAATCAAAAAATGCTGACCTCAGCTCTATAAACACTGAACAGAAATCTGCTATCAGGGTACATAGGAAGTAGCCTGTTCTGCCACTGAAACCCTTTTGCACTGTACCTGACCCCTCTGCAACAGCCTTTGCCATTTAGGGTAATTTCTCGTGAACCTTCAGAACTGAGACTTTATAAAATGTAAAACCTAAGCTGACCTCTTTATTTCAGGCAGAAATAATTTAAATTAATTGTTATCATTGATGTAAAGTAGAATTGATGGTACAATTTGAGAATTAGGTAGGGGTTTGACTTTTACCTTAGGCTTTTAAAAATTTGAAATCATTGCTTTGAAATTAAATCTTAGCTTTAATTTAAAGCTAATTGTTTGCTTTAATATTGATAATGTCAGTTGTTTTTTTTTTTTTTTTAAATAAGAATCTATACACATGAACTCATCCTTAAGTACACATCTTAAAAGTAGAACAGGAAAAGAAAATTTTATTTGGCAACTGGACAGTTTCAGGGACAAGGAAATGCAATGATAGAAGTAAACTAAAAATCTGTTTCATAACACTTGTAAAGTACAAACATTGGTTGTCTGTAGAGATATCTGAGGAGTATGTCTACTGGGAGGGTTTTTAATTGCATGAGTCACATGACTGAAAGCTAACTGATCTGTTAGAGAGCTGCATTGCTGCTCTTGATAGTTTTCTGGTTTGCAGTGTATGTGTTGAAATGTTTTGGATGTATAGCACTGGTGGCCAGAGTTGCAGGTGGGTACCTAAAGCCCAGCTTCCTTCATCTGAAGTCAAAACAAGTAACTACTACTGCAAGATCAATGTGTAAGATAAAATAGTAAACAACACTACCCGAATAAAAGCAATAAAAGTAGAAAATCTCTTCCATAACGCTGTGTTTATCCTAACACGCTGCTGAGGCAAACTGATTAAAATTCAGCTTTTGTAGTCTCGCAGACATACACCGCTCAGCTGGTGCATGTTAGAGCCCACATTTTCAGCAACGATGAGCTGGGTTTTTTTTCATCAGTTTACAAAATTATTTTTTTCAGCTTCCTTGGTTTCTGGGTATAAATACTATGACTGGAAAGTACATTTACACGCTATCTCAGACTCAACTCAACAAGGATGATTTGCTTTTTCATGTCCCATTCTGGCTTCCAAACACCACAGCCACCTAACCATCTTGAAGAGAACCATAAAGGTCTCTTACTGCTGCACATTAGTGGGGGTTTTCTTCCCCTTCCCGTGTTCAGTGCAGGAAGTGATTTGGAAAGACAGTTACAACTTTTAAGTTACTTACTTTCAAGTGATACTTTAGGATCCATTTTGAAGAACATATAAAGTTGGACTGGAATTTAATTTATCACATAATAATAAAAAAAAATGTTATTTGAAGAGGATGTTCTTTGAGTTCCTGCAAAATTTTCAGCAACTTATCTCTGGGTGATAGTGATAGGAATGCTGCCTAGCATGAGGGACACTAAACTAACATGGGGGCTCCTTCACTCCTAGATATGAGATGAACATTGTTGCACATAGAAGTTATCCCGTTAAAACAGAAGGAACTACTCTCATACATGCATTAAAAACATGTATGCAAGTCTCTGCAGGATTACAAAAGGCAGGAAGCAACAGGTTGGGGCAACAGACACCAGATGGGTGGAAGGAAGAGTAAAGTGATAGGAAGACATGGTTATGTGGGCAGGTTGCGTATGCAGCTTACAAGTTTGAAGGCAGTTGAAGACCTGATTTTAAAGTTTGACATTGTTTTAAACAGATGTGATGTTTGTCATGTAACAGCTGTTCCAGAAGCACCTGCAGCTCCAGTGCTCATGATCAATAACTCACACTAACTTCAAATCATGGTGAGACCACTTACACAACATTTGGATGATATCACTGCTATTTTTCTACAGAACAGTCTTCAGCATAGTTCATGCTTCACCAGATACACCAGGGTACACCTTACATAGCTTGCAGGGAGGCAGCTGATGCTGTTGTACTGATGAAACAATACAGAGCCTAATGCTCTGGTGGTCCTCATAAAATCAGTATACAGCTTTGCCAAGTCAGTGGTGAGAGAAAGAGTGAGGAATAGAAGAGCTTGCATGCAAATCTGTAGTGAATGGAGAGTAATTATACAGGAGTAGTAGCAATATACAGTAATAACTCCTGTAAATGCCTTGCCAGGAACATCGTACTTTCCCTAAAAAGCTGAATTTTTAATAAGTAAACTCAGGAACTCTGAAAAAAGAGGAGCAAAATTTTATAGCTGTAAATAAGCCTTTTGTGCATAAGCAAGAAAGTTAACACACTGACCTACTACTTTATTTTGAAAATTACTTCCAAAAAACCTCCCAAACCACCACATTAAAAACTTTGCTCATGAAGATATATCACTCTACTGTCAGTAGAACAAACTGCAACTAAGTCATGTAAACATGACCTGCTCCTTTTGAAGAAAGGGCAACATAATGTTCTCTTTGCGAATATACGTAATTCCTACGGTACTGTGCAGAAGATAGTATTTTTACTTGCAAAATAAATATGCAGATTGTTAAACTGAAATCGTATTCAGAACATGATGAATAACATATTTGAACATTTTATTTAGTACAAGAGGTACTGAGAATTTCACTATCGAGTCAAAAGAAATCTAAAAAATTCTAACTTTGTTTAATTTCAGATCTTCTTACTAGAAAAACTTTTGTAAGCCCTTCTGAAAGGAAGCCAGATTAATTGTTATGATTCCACTACTTTGTAAGGCTCTAGTCATGCAGATGAACAGTGACCATCACCACAGCTGGGAAAAGCTGCCAAAAGACTAACCCTAAAAATAGGAAGAAAGAAAATAACCCAACCCTGTAAATAACAGCCAGTTATGCTCTTTATTCAAGCAAGTGTCCAAATGACCAGGAGTTGTGGCAGGATCCTGTAGTGAACTGCTCATCTGGTGGCTTCTCAATATGATGTTTTACTCTAGTGAATATGCTACCATATATTTGTAATTAATTCCCAAAGGACACAGAAAGGTACATCGATGTGCATTCTGCCATGGGAAAGGCACATCAGAGCAGAGCTAATTTTATCCTCTGGAACTGCAAACCCCATGTCTTCCAATAAATTGCTGAGGAGGTGGAGTTTCTCTGCATACTTTTCTCTCTGGCACAGAGACTTATCCTCATGTTAAATTACCATTATGCTATTTGTTCTTCTATGTGTCAGCAAACTCAGTTACCTTGTACGTACAGCAACACCCTGGAAACACAGTTTTTGTCTCAGACGACAAGACACTTGAAAAGGAGGGCTGTGTTTTCCTTTAATCTAACAATATGAAAAGAATTGTCTTGTTTTTTTTACTGCCAGCAACCACAGAACACAGACCGGCTGAGAGTCAGCACTTCCCTGGGAAAAGCACCAAAGCCTATCAAACAGCAAGCTCAATAGCGGGAATACGGTGTTCCAACTGCTGAATTCGAATTTATCTGGTTTTGAGAGGGAAGGGGAGAGGTAAATTTATTTTCTACCATCAGGAGGGTATTTCCTGTTCATAGGTGAAGGGGGGGGGGGGGAGGGGGAACCAACCCAGGCATGTATGTCACTGCAGTATCGATGCGCGACATAAACTACTCATTTCCTAGGAGCCTAATTCGTTTTTACCGTTCGTGTGGAGCAGGAGCCCCAGCCCTCCGCTCGCCTCCAGCCACCCCGGGGGTTGCTCGGAGAGAGCAGACACAGAAAACAACTGCCGGGGTGAGACTGGACCTTTCCTCCCTTCCAGAGGACGTGAACCCAGAGCTGGCCTCGTCTATGTACTCTTCGTGAGCGTAAACTGTACTGCAGAAGCGCATCCTGGAGAGGCACCTCTGCTGAGGGTTGCAGACCGGCGGGACGCCTCGAGGGTCGCCGCTTGCGGCGCCAGGAGCCGCCGGGCGGAGCCGTTGTGCCCGCTCCTGGGTGCCCGTCCACCCGGCTATCGGGAGCAGGTGTCCCGGAGAGGAGTCGACACTCCCGCAGCCCGATCCCCTGCCTTGGCCAGGTCTCAGGATGAGGCTGGCGAGGGGTAGTTGCGAGGTAGGAGGAAAGACCCTTCCTTACCTGTTAATTTTAAGGGCGAACGCCCTCCTGTCCGCGGCGGGTAAAGTCGCCATGCGGGAGAGCAGCCGCGGGTGCCGGCTGCCGACGAGGACGGACGCCGGCTGTACGCACGAAGGGCGGTTTTATTTCATCTTGTTTATTTTTGTTAACTGCATGCTCCGGGCTAACCCCCCGACGGTCTGCTGACAGTTCTGGTTGACAGCTTCCGCATTTCACCTTCCTCACCGAAATCGGTCGGAGTGGGAGGAGGGATCTGCACAGCTGGCGTCTCAGCCCTGCCACTGCCTGCCCCGCCGGGCCCTGGTACCCGCGCCTTGCCCCGGTGGCCCCTGCAGGCTGCCCGCCACGGAGCGCCAGGGCACAGGGCAGAAACTTTCCCCCCCAGCTTAACACAGGCGACCCCGAACCGCCGGTAGGTATTTTGAAGGGAAGCAGCAGGTAAGGCAAGCATTTCAGCAAGCGCAGCGAGGAAGGAGGACGGAAAGAGCCTTGTACCTGTGAACGTGCACAGCGACGGGAATCCTTGCACACCGCCCCAACCCTTTTCCTTTTGGAAAGCGCGCTGCAGCTGTCACACCCTCCACCACTCCCGCCCGGGCCGAGGGCAGCTCTGGAGAGCCAGCCGGGAAAGCAGTGGGCGCGACTGGGCCCCAAACCGGCCCCTCACCGCCCTTGGGCAGCACCGATCCAGTCCGGTCTTCCCCTTCGGGGCAGGCGCAGCCCCCGGGCAGGGCAGGGCAGGGCCGGGCCAGGCCAGGGGAGACCGGCACTCACTGCGCTGCAGGCGGAGGAAATAGCCCGGGTCCTTTCTTCAGCCCTCTGGCATACAGGTGGAGTTGTTCGGGCAGGTAGAGGCAACAAGGTGTCAGGCATAAATAAATGCCAGCTCCTCACCTTGGGTGATATTTTGCCAATACACACGTGCATCCAGGATACAGGTTTCTCTTACCCCAAAACCATTTGGAATGCGTAAGGAACACTCACACGTACCAACACCAGATACCAGCTCAGATTAGCACTAAGCAGGCCCAACTGCAGTTGTCCACACCTGCACTTACAGCTCAACCTTTTAAAAAGGCCTTTTTCATTAAGGGTTCAGTGGTTTGTGTTACAAAGTGATGCTTCCTGGCTGGTAGGTCTCTCTCAGCCTTGGTATGGATTTCCCTGCTTCTGCAGTTAAGCAGAGCTCAGACTTCATGTGAAAGGGGAAGAGACAGAAGCCAAATACAGCTTCTGCAGGTGAATTATGGGGTAGCAGAAGCAACCCAGTTTAGCTTGTCCTGTTTTCATTCTTGTCTCTTAGTTCCATTTCATTCTATCTCCTGTATGAAAGAAAGGAAATGGGAGGGAAAAAATGCTCTGCAGTTCTCCACTAGTACAGTAGGTACTGCCACATGGAATTGCTTTCTGGTAGCTTAACTTGCATTGTAGATAACCTGTCAATGGAAGAGATGCTCATCCATGGCAGGAAGTCTGCTCTCTTCTGTTTCTCAGAATACTGTTTTTGAGAACCATAACCATCCCTTTTGTTATTTGATTTCAAAAGCTTCCATGAAATGCTGTGCCTCTGTTCGTAGCAACTTACAAGCTATGGAGGAGAAGCGTAAGCTATTAAAAAAAAAAAAAAAAAAAAGCAGGAAGCTCCATTAACCATCCTGTACAGTAAGAATATGGTTTGGGTGTTAGACAGGTTTCACACATGTCTTTCTGTTCATCGCAGGTCTAATGAAAGGAACCGGACATTCTTCCTTTGCTGAAGTCTCTGGTTACTTGGGTTTGGGGTGTTGGTTTGTTTGAGAGATGAAGAACTGTTCAGTACCTCATTTTTCACTGAAGCTATAAAAAGAGTCCAGGCTTCATCTTAACAGCTCATGTGGCATCAAGTAGGACCTTCCTTGATTGCCAAACCTGGCCACACAAATCAAGCTATCAGCAACGTAAATCCCAACTTACACACACATACCCATTTATCAATGACACAATTATTTATTTCATAGCTTCATACATTCTTTATACATTCTTTGTCCATACAAGCATGGACAAAGGAATAACTCAAAAAATATTCTGTCACATGCAGGAAAGAAAATGCCTGAGGAGACACACAAAAGTAAGGTTTCCAAAACTGCTAGTATGTTCATTAGGTCCAGACCAAACAGATCATTTTAAGTTTTCGTCTTTTTTGGTGAACTGAATTATCAGCAGTCTACTTCAGCACATGAACAGAAAAAAAAAAATCATCAAATATTCCTTTTCATCTATTGTGTCAGCAGCTCTACTGCCCTTTTTTTTTTTTGGGGGGAAATTAAGAAAAAAACCCACAAGAGAGTTTACATGGTTTTAACTCACTGGAGTACTACCAGACAAGATATACTGCTCTAGCTTGTTGCTAAATACTAGTGTTTGAATTCCTGCAACAAACAAACCCATTATATACAAGGTCATGAAATCTAATCATGTCCTTAGAACAAGATCTTTCCAGTCACAAGATTTAAAACAATGATACCAAACCAGGTGTCAGTGAAGGCAGCACAAAATCAGAAGTGAAGAAACAATGTAATTCAGAGCAGACCAAGGTTTTCCAAACCTAGTTGCTTGGATGGCAGCAGCTGTTGGTGGGTCTTGTATACAGTACAGCAGAAAGAACATTTATATTCACCATTTCCTCCTCTCCATCCTCCTGTTGCACACAAAAACACATCCCAAACAGTGGTCCCAATTGTTGTTAACTTCAGCCCTAGAATCAGTCATAAAGCTGCACTTCCCTCTAATTCCTCTTGGGCTTCAAATATTCTCACCATGCTTCTGTCTTCCTCCTGCCACGTAAGTGGTGGGTCCATCTTTGATTGCTGTGACTGGGCAGGCTGAGGAGCTGCTGAGCTGTGCTAGGGACAGCACAGGCTGGGTATGAACACATTGGCAGAACAGCTACTGCTGTGTATGGTTTTAAAGGCGTTTACAAGCAGGGATTAGTGAAATGCTGGAGGAGACAATAATCAGCATGTCTACATACCATTTACCATGGGATTTTTCTTCTGTTAAGACACACGTTCCCAATATATTCCAAATCACTTCTTTACTGGCAGTGGTATCCCTGCAAAGAATGCTATTGCATGACAGAATATTACAGCATCATGCCCATCATTAAACACGACTTTGTACCCCAGGATAGTCGTGGACAACAAAGCCTTGCCAAAGCTTTAGGTGTCACCTGCTTCTTTGTAGAGGATGTACCTCATGCTTGACCAGCAACTGAGGTAAGTTCACAGGAGTTTTCTCAGTATCTCTTATAGTAGTAAATTTGCCTCCTTGGCAAAACACACCAGCAGTATATAACTGTTATCTGATTACATCATCATAATACGTGGAGGTTCCCACCAACAAAGGACTGTGATGATCTCAGTACAAGCCAGCAAACATACAATGCCTGTTAATGTTTGCTCATATTCCACCTTCCTACAACATCGCTGGCTACAGGAGTACCATGAAACCAGTGCAACTAGATACTCTTTCCTTAAAGGAAGTAGACATGCCACCAAGTCCAGTACTCTCGCTGACATAGATCTTGGCTGTATCCAATAAAATCCAAGTGATTTATTCAAGACTGTTTTAAACAAAAAATGTTACATAAGATTTAAAAGGCTAAGTCTCATGAAAATTAAGTGTAATTTTCCATTCCTCCTTCTGATATATTAAATATGGCAACAAAATACTGAACCTTCCTCACAAAAAAAAAAAAAATTTAAAAAGTCACTCCTAGGTTTAAGTTTCATTTCTGCGTTGGTGAAACAGGAGAAGAGGAACTTAAGATCACTTTGCAGCCTCTGCTTTTTGCTGTAACAGTTGACTAAAGGGGGGGGGGGGGAAGCTATGCTATGTGAAAGCATAACTTCTTTTCCTGTTTGTCTGTGCAAATTATTCTGGAGAAACAAAGATGTTACTGGTCAGATCATCCCCAGACAATTTCTCAAAGAGAAATGTTTCTTTGCTCACCTTCACAGTAATCAGAACTTAAGCAGAGAGAACACTGATTTTTCCCCCCCTTACTGTCATGATATTACATACAACTAGGCAACTTGCTGGATGATGGCTGTTGATGTTTATATCCTGACTTTAAGCCTCTCCTTTATTCTGCTATACTCAGGTTCACCAAATTTCACATCATAAGAGCATATTGAGCACATAAGTCATAGCAAGCAGCAGTGTTAAAAAGCAGATGCACTGGTTGAAGCAAGATCTTCCTTCTCTTATGTGACATGTGAAGAATCTGCATCCTTCAGAGAAAAATAAAGCCCAGTTGTCAGAAGGAGCTGTCAATCCAAGAGAGGAAAATAGAGACAGTTTAATATAGTCAAACACAGGTAAGAGGCAAGAAAGGAGTAACTGTACCTAGGGGAGTATGCAGACCACACTAAAGTTATGCCTCTGCTTATCAGTTTGTATTCTGAGATATACACATGCCAGCTGAATAGCTACAGAGCTGATCATGAAACTGAACGTCTGTTTCCATGTTGTTTCTCATGTCAAATACCATTCAAAACTTCTGGCATCATTGTGTCAGTTTGCAGCAACTCCTTACTCTGTGATGCTGAGCTACATTGTACATACAGTAACAGGTACAGCAGGAAAGCAACATGGCTACTTCTCTGGCAGCCATGATGCTTTAAGACTGTTATACTACTCGTAACATTAAAACGATTTTCTTCTCCTGTTGTTTCAACCAGATCATGCTCCCTTTGCTACTGAATCAGGAATCACTAACCTTCAAGGCCCTTCAGTGCAACTTCTTTGTTTTCAGTGCTCTTAAAACTCTTCTTCCCCGCTTCTTCTCAGAAACTTAAACACTTTTGTCCTTCATCCAAAGTGGCCTGAAGCAAATGGCTTTGCTAGCACCAAGATCTTCAGTATTTAGGAATGGACAAGCTTATTTCAATTTTGGCCACCTAAATAACTAATTAAATATGACTTCCTGGTACACGTCAACAATTTACTGCTTTCTGGTGTTGTATGTCTGGTCTCAAATACCTCAGAATAAGACTGCCACCTGGATCTAGGCATGCTATGCTCATTTTAGCTGCCACCACAATAAAATATGCAGGTTTTGCATCTACCTTTACAAAGTAGGCTTTATTACATGGGGCAGTAGAAACACAGAGACAGTTAACACAGCAGAATTCTAATGTTTGAATATAAACTTTAAAGAAACCAAAAGGAAATCCATAAACCACAGTATTTATTTCAGGTAATTTTGTTCAAAAGAAAAACAATGAGCAGTGTCATGTGAACTGGTGAAAAGCAGATCAACTTAAAAAACCAGGGCACTGGTTTCATTACCTTTTTCTTCCCCAATATCAGATGTCTCACTGACATGTAACTGAAATGTCAGTATTAGAAATCGTCTAATTTTTGAAAGACAACTTACAGCTTCTTACATGTTCTGTGATTCCAAGACCCTGTTCCCAACACCCTTCTCATTTTTTCTTCCTTTACCCCACAAGTAAGGGATTTTCTTGCAGTAAAAAGCTTAACATTTTTTCTTCATCTTTTAATAACAGAGCTGTGTAAAGTTGAGCAGACTCAGGACAGCAAAAACATATCATTGGTCACGGTTCTAAGAGACATGACTTAAAAAAAAGGCTGATCAGGTTTTTAAATTAAAACAGGATGTGTCATACAAGGGGATGATCTGAGTAGTTGAAACAAGAACACAAGAAAAGACGTATTGATCCTAAAACTCTGCAAAGCAACAAACTACGTACTTACTGCCTATAATGAATGGAGAACACTTACTGCCTTCCACAGATAAGGAAACAGAAATTCCACATGATTCTTGACAGCTGCTTTTATTTACTGAAAATACCCAAGCCTGTCACCTTGCTAAACTCCAGAGTATTGTATTTGTGCCACTGAGATGACAGATTTACAGTGTAGGACAACATGAGTTATTTTAACTACAACCAAAACAAACAAAAAAAATGCTCTTCCCTCACAAGTCAAGATTTTAATCATTTGCTTCTGAACTTATCGTCTGGACAACAGCTACAGGTATTTCTGTGGAATAGAGTTGTATCTCCGAGCACAAACTGAATTAATGGACTAAGTTATTTTTAGACCAGACTTCCATATGCTTGTTATAATCAGAATGACTAAAGTAAATGCAAACTATTTTAAGTGGAATATCATTAGTATTAAAGGAATGTTTTAACCTACACCAGTACAGGATGATCCAAGGATATCTACTAAGTATATTTACTGACATACAATCCAATAAATATACAAACAAGCTAAGGCCAACACAGTTCATCTGCCTGTGCTCAAACCAGTGTTACTGGACCTTATTTTGAGTGCAGAGGACCACACCTGGGTTTAGAGGACTGTAAGTACGAATCTCTTCTCCATGCCTCCTCCAATACCATTATAGTTACACATTTTAACATGAAGAAATGGAAAACATAGTACCAATTTGCTAAGCTTAGCTCCACAAAAGGTAGGAATTTCACAAGACCGTTAAAATTAACTGCAGATAGGTGTTAACACACGTACATGCCTCTTCATGGCATCTAACGGGAAACAGAGAAAGCTAACATTCGATTTGTAGCTTAACTTTATTTGACTATTAATCAAAGCAAGCACATCCACCTCGCACGAGGGTTGCCGACGACACCGGAGACATCCCCAGTGTTCCCCATGGGTGGGAACTTCCCCAAACCGGACTGAAGAGGATGCGCGGTCGGAAGGACCCGGCCCCCCACCGCCGCCACCACCAGCACCACCAGCAACCAGCAGCAGCACCAGCAGCAGCAGCAGCACCAGCACCAGCAGCACCAGCAGCACCAGCACCAGCAGCACCAGCAGCACCAGCAGCACCAGCCGCCGCCGCCGCCGCCGGCACCACAGGCTCACAGCCCACCGCTTCTCCAGCTGCTGCACGGTTGCACAGCCCAACGGGGCACCCCGATGAAGCCAAACTTCATGCGTAGAGAGCAGACGCTGTGGGCCGCTTGCGTACCGTGTGCCGGCGCCAGGCGGCGCTGCCGCCATATCGTGCCGTGCCGTGCCGTGCCGTGCCGTGCCGTGCCATGCCATATGACGTGACGTGCGTAACGCTGGGAAGGCGCGGGTGCGCGGCGGTCCGCGCTCAGGCCGTAGGGGCTCAGGGGAGGGGCGGAGGCGGCTGCCGCAGCGGCCTGTGACTGTCCCTCAACCCCGGCGGCGCAGAGCTGCAGGGCCCGCGCCCTCATGGAGGACGAAGACTGCCCCGACCTGGTCCCGATAGACGCCGGCGGCGAGGGGGAGACCGAGTCCAGTCGCAGCAGGAAGATCCCCGTGACCATCATCACGGGGTATCTGGGTGAGAAGCAGCCCCGCGTCCGTGCCCGCCGGCGGCGTAGCTCGCCTCCCGGTGCCGGGAGGAGCTGAACAGGCGGCCCGTGGCGGCCGGGAGACCGGAGGAGGGGGCTGGGCAGGGGGGGTCTCCGGAAGCGAGGGTGCTTGGCAGGCCCGGCCGCTGCCCCCGTGCCCGCCGGCTGGGTGGCGGAGCGCGCCCCGGTGCTGTACGGAAGCGGATATTGGCGCTGCTCGCGTAGTGAAAGCGCGCTGTCCTTACGCAGCTTGTGCCAAGTGCAGCTCCGGCCATGCTTTCACAGCGGTTTCAGACAGCGGTACCACCTCCAGTTTTGTTCTGATTATGTTTGACAAAGCGCGTTTTGCCACTGAACGTCAGTATATTTAACAATGCATTTAAACTGGGTATTTCCCTGAGTTAAATTCAAACTGAATTGCAGTCGTAGAAATGTGAGGTTTGGCTTCCCTCACTCAAACCAACACGATTTTGAGAGGTTCAAATACAGATGTGTATGGTAAGGATAAGGTTAAATTTAGGATCACCAACACTGTTCTAAAAGTTGTAACTTTCCATTACATCATACTCAGGGCGACCCGAGGGCAGGGAAGGAAGGTTGCTTTACCAAATTCCCCTACTTCTGATCTTGTGCATATGCAGAGTGAAACTGGTAGTAACGTGTTATTACACAGAAGGTGCGAACACCTTGGTTAACAACGTCTCATAATGGTAGTTAGTAGCACATCATCGCTTTCCGATGACAAAAGTGCTGGTTGGAAAAGGCGGTGGTAGAGGGAAGAATAAGTGCACCTTTTGTTAACTGAAACATAAAAAATGGATTTTGTCAGAAAAGGCTCCCCAGCTGATAGAGGACTTGTAAGTCTGTCAAGCCCTGATAGTGAATGGGAAACCACCTGGCCTCTTAAGGCTGATATATAATATCCTGATAGTTGCATGAGGTCAAATATCTTTACAAATTAATTTTTACAGTATTATAATAGAATGCAGGCTACAATCACGAAAATTCGTATTTCAGGAGAGGAGAGATTTGTCTGAGGTTGCACAACAGTATTTGCCTTTTATTTGAAAATGTGCGCTTTTTAAAAACATTTTAATGGAAATATGATCTGTGTTCTAGGAGCTGGGAAAACAACTCTTCTAAATTACATACTTACAGAACAGCATGATAAAAGAATAGCAGTTATTCTGAATGAGTTTGGAGAAGGTATGTAAATCTGCAGAAACATTGTTTTAGCCATAAAATGACAAATACATACAAATTCTGAAAATTGAAAGCATTGTCGTTTTAAATCTGTTACTGAAATTACTGCTTTATGTCATTGTCTTAAGAAGGGCAAAAAGTCTTTTGGATAGTGTTCATAAAATAATACTATGCATTAATCTGTTTTCTGACATAAATCAAGTCCCTTGGAGTCAAGGTAATGAACATATCACCCTTTTGGAAGTGCTGTACCTCCATTTGTCCTGCTTAGTTTCAAGCAAATGAAAATCAGAATAATGTGTTGGTGGATAATATTTTCTTTCCCTGCCTGCCAGTCACTTGCAGATCACAAATTATCCCCAAGAAAATGGGGAGGTGTGTGCTTGGTGTCTGTAGTTCTTTGAACTTTTCTGCTTTTATTCTCGGGATTTTTAACTGTTACAGCTGTGATTTCATATCAGCATTGCTTACAATTTGCACCGAGTAGGTGGTGTTTTGTTTGTTTGGTTTTGTCAACAAAGATGTGTACTGCTTTTCTGGTCATGGTGTCTAAAACGAAAAGTAAGAGAGAACCTTTATTTGATATGGAGGTGAAGGCTGACTTCCCATTCTGTCAGCAAAGTTTGTGACATTCACTCTGTACTTTCATTCTCTGGGTTTTGGTCTTTGTAGAACCAACTTGACTTTGGCTTTTCAATTTCTCATAAAATGGAAAATACTAATTTCTAAAGAACGTGCCAGAAACATGGTCTCAGAAGAAAAATATATAATACAAGAGTAAAAGTGTATACCAACTTAAATCTTTCATCTCTTTTCCAGGTGTCGTCATGCAGATTTGTAGATTAATATTGTAGTACTACTTATATTTCCAGGAAGTGCCTTGGAGAAATCCCTGGCAATCAGTCAAGGGGGAGAACTCTATGAAGAATGGCTGGAGCTCAGAAATGGCTGCCTGTGCTGTTCAGTAAAGTAAGGAACACATTCTTAGAGTGGGTTTTGGGAGAGCTGGGGAAAGGACAAGACATAGAGAATCTAGTTCCTAAAACTGGTGGTAGTACTGACTGATATTTTCTTGTGGGATAAAACAAAATTGGACTTTGGGAGACAGAAATTTACTCCATTTTGTTGCCTCATTGGGGTTTGGATTTAGTGTCTTTTCAGAAAAATAATCCAAATACCAGTTTATACACCATTGGGGTATTGTAGGTAAGGAGCTGTCCCTTTTCTGTACATGCTTTTATACAGAGAGCTAAAGATACAGGAATTTCCACATTAAATAATCTTTCTTTATTTGTATTTTGGTTAATACATGAATACTCTACACCTCAGGGTGGAGAGAGAACCTTTTGGTAACCTAATGAAATACAGAATTCCAAATTGTTAGATGATGGTCATGTTAAAATGCAGGAGTGTATTTGTTCCTTTGACATGTTTTGACCCTTTTTGCTTGAATGCTGGGTTGGTTGTGCTAAGGTTGTAGTGAAGGTTAGTCCTGAAAGTTTGGAAGAACTTATTCTATGCCTGAAGTTGGAGAAGTAGATGGAAAACAGAAGACCCTGTTCCACTGTGTTCTGTTGGAATGCAAGGAATGCCGCCAGTGCTGCAATGTTTTACATACATTGGTGTCTTATATAAAATGCCATACATTTCTGCTTCAGGTTGATTCATCAGCTGAGATTTAGTAAATAAGTCATCTTAATTCTCCTGTAGGTAAGGTGGAAAGGCAGGAGAACATGGTTCAGTTCTCCATCCCCCTTCCCGCCAAACCAAATAGTCATGTGTTTACACTGCCCTACTGTCCATTACAGGGTTTTCAGTGTTTGAAAACAAATCTTCATTTAAATCACCTTTATTATTCCTGTTGGGAGTAAGCAAATACTGTTTTCAGACCAAAATGAAACAGGAAAGTACAGTTTGCCTAGTATTAGAGCAGCAGCTGGATGACTGAGTTTTCATTGTGGACTGTAAACCCTGACTCACGCCTTTGCTTTGATGGTAATGACACTGTTCTGCGTCAGAAGATAAATGCTTATACATGTTTTAGCTTGTTTTCTCTGTTCTCAGGTTTGTTTCTTCTTACAGGGACAGTGGTGTGAAGGCGATTGAGAACCTGATGCAAAGGAGAGGAAAATTTGACTATATATTGTTAGAGACAACTGGTTTGGCAGATCCAGGTAGTTCACATTACAGTTTTCATAACTGTGGTAATTATTCTGCTTTTATGAGGTTCTTGTTTGCTCACCGATCAGTTCACCGTGCAAGATGTAATCTAAAGTAGTGAGTTGTCAGGCATATACTTTAATTGCTACATAGACTAAAAACTGAATTAGATAGTTGCAGAAGTAGGGATTTGGGTGGGGTTCTTTGGTTGGTTATTTTGTTTTGTTTTGTTTTTCAACCTACTCCAAGTTGCCCCTAAAGCTTAACAGAAATCCAGTTAAAACGTATTTCTATAAAGAAAAGAAATTGGGCTTGGAGAAGAGGAGCACACTGGAACTAGTGGTTTTCAGATGGCTTTGCAGATGGCGTTTGCTGTTCTGTATTGTTCCTTCTCAAGTATAAGTTGCTAGCATCTGATGTATTGTTACACTGATTGTGGTAGAACTTACATTTTGTGAAGTCATAAAATACGCTCCAAAACAGACTCATACGTGCTTCTGGTAGGTAGAGAACAATAATCGACCTTAAAAATTTCTTGTGTGCTCTTTAGTGATATTTATTATAAAAAGGTGTTTAAACATGAGTTCATGTTAGTAATAGCTGTCTAAAATAATTTTCACTGAATCATCAATTAAAAATGTGTTGCTGATCGGGAGTGAAGGAAATTCTTATCAGAAATGCAATCGTTTCCCATTTAGGAGATGATGTTTTCCAGCTCAAAGCTAAATAGTTGTCATGGTAAAGTAATTTCCTTCAAAAGAAAGGACATTGATTTGGCCTCTGTTACGCACAAATTCTGTGTGAGTCATATTGGAAAACTATTAAGGTTTTGGGAAAAAAAAAATCAATAGACACCAGAAAACCATTAGATGTTGTGGCCTTTGCTATATCTTGCATGAATAAGCACTGTGAACACGTGACAGGCATTTGGTGTTGATGCAGAGTGATGCTTGGAGGACTGCATATTGTCATTTCAGGTGGACAGTTGTAAGTGTTAGAATGAGGTTAGTTACTGAGGGTTTGTTTTTTTTGTTTTTTTTTTTTTCTTCTAATGTACTTACTTTGCTTAGTTACTGACAGCCTGTCACTAACAAAGGTTCTGATAATTAAAAAAAAAGTGCTGTTGCTGCTGTCAGTTCCTCCTGTCCTTCATATTGTGGCACTGATCTATGTTAAATTGTGGTTTTTTTCATAATTATGATTTTTTAAATTTTTTTTCATAATAAATATACAACACATTCTACAGTTGCTAGAATCTATTTTATAGGGCCATTTTAGCAGAAAACAAGAGTAGCTTACTTCTAGGCCATGTGTAGTACACAGGTATCAGGTCACAGATTCAGAATCCTTGATAGAATATGGTGCAGATTGTCCAACTACTTGTTGATTCTTTTTGCTCAATACTCAGCAGCTTAGTAATGTTCTGTTTTACATCCTCACAAAATTACAGATTACTGTACAAATACGAGAGAATAGTACATGTTTCATTATTCCAGAAGGATCTCATCTGGATGGAAATTCATTGGATAATGAGGCCTAGTATGTAAAAAATACTAGAATCATACAGAATAATTCAGTTTGGAAAGTATGTTAGGAGGTCTTCAGTCCAACCTCTTGTCCAAAACAGGATCAGCTATAAGACAAGACCAAACCCTTTGGGATATCAGGTCATATATCTCCATCCTGTACAGATAAATTTGACACAACCTTTCCAGGCAAACTGTTCTGTGCCTGCCTTTTCACGGTAAAAAAACATTTTTCTGATAAATGTTGTCTGGACCTTGCTTAGTTCAGCTTACTACAGTTGTCTCCCATCCTTCTCCCACAGTCTGGATCAGTCTTATCAGTGACTCACCTGTAGGTACCAGAGAGGGTACTGTTAGGTTCTACAGGCATTTTCCTGTCTTCCAGGCTGAACAAATGCAGTTCCTTCACCACTCTTTGTAGGTAGGGCTTGTGCTCTGACCTCAACTGTCTTCATGATAGTACGCTTCCTGTATGGGGGATCCGTGTGCTGGAAGTGCTAGCCAGATACAGACTTGAAAGTGTTAAATAGAGGAAAATAACTTCTCTCAGCCATGCTTTTGTTCCAACAGTCTGGGGTGGTTTTGGCCTTTCTGATCCATGGGTATACTGCTTGCTTGGCTTCCTGCCTACCAGGATGCCCAGGGCATTCTCTGTAGACCTGCTCCCCAGGCAGTGTGTCCCTAGCCTGTGTCATTGCCCAGGGCTTTTCATTCCTAAGTGTATAACTCAGTGTTTTTTCTTGCTGAATTTCATCTGTTTCTTGTTGGCCATTCCCTCCTCTCTGGCCGCGTCCCTCTGAAAGATAGCTCTGTCGTTAGATATGTTAGCTGTTAATTCCCAAATCTCAGTCTCTGCAGTCTTGACAAGCATGTCTTCTGTTCCTTCTTGGGTTCCTGGTGGATGTTAAACAGGACAGGTCCCACCCAGAACAGAACCTGACTTACTACTTTCTTCCAGTTAGTGTATGACCTGTTAGTTGCAACTTTAGAGCTTAATTATCAACCAGTTTTACCTAGTTGTCTTTTCATTTAGATTGATAATGTCCCAGCTTGGCTACTAGAATGTCTTTGAAGGCAATGTTGAAAAATTTGCTGGAAGTGATGTAAACGGCTTATGGTACTTTACCCTTGTCCACAAATACAGTAATTGATCTTTTTTTGTTGTTGTTGTTCACAGAAAGCCAGATACAGCCTTCCGAGGCTGATCAGGCATGATTTATGTTCATAAATTCCCCTTTCAGTGCAGGATCTATTTGCAAATTGAACATGCATTAGACATTTCTTAACTCAGTCTATTTTATCTAAAGCCACAAGCTTTTTTTTTTTTTTTTTTTTAATCCTATTGATTTAAGATGTAAGAAACTCTATGGGAGAGGTCATAGAAGCCAGTGAAGAAGAAGGGGTCACAGTATCACAGTATCACAGTATGTTAGAGATTGGAAGGGACCTCAAAAGATCATCTAGTCCAATCCCCCTGCCGGAGCAAGAACACCTAGATAAGGTTACACAGGAACGTGTCCAGGCGGGTTTTGAATGTCTCCGGAGAAGGAGACTCCACAACCTCCCTGAGCAGCCTGTTCCAGTGTTCTGTCACCCTCATTGAGAAGAAGTTTCTTCTCAAGTTTAAGTGGAACCTCTTGTGTTCCAGTTTGTACCCACTACCCCTTGTCCTATCATTGTTTGCCACTGAGAAGAGCCTGGCTCCATTCTCGTGACACTCCCCCTTTATATATTTATATACACTAATAAGGTCACTCCTCAATCTCCTCTTCTCCAAACTATAGAGACCCAGCTCCCTCAGTCTTTCCTCATAAGGGAGACCCTAGGAGGGAGCAGATTTTGCAAATGTCCTAATTCCGTTTTTCCTTAACTGTTTTGTTTGTTGTTTCCCCCCACCCCGTGTGTGTTCCATGACCTAGAAACTAGCTGAAAGGTGAAGGATGGAGTACAGAACTTTTTAGAAACAGTGAGCCTTGGAGTATAGTAATGACATTTAGTTGATACTACTGAGTAAAGGTAGTTTAGCCAACTTAAATTGCATCTGGATTTGTGAGATTTTTAAAGCTTTTTGTAGTCCTGGCTGATGATGTATGTACAAGTACGATGTTTGGTAGCTGTTGTTAGGTCAAATGTGTGGTGGGTATTTGAAGTCTATGGTACATTCTGAGTTTGGAAGAGAGGAGTTTCAAGTACAGCACTACAAATAAGAATTTTTTAATGAAATGTCTGCATATTAGTAGTTTACTGGAAAATGTAAATTTTGCAACTGAATTTACTGCACTTCATAGGAGCTGTGGCCTCCATGTTCTGGGTTGATTCTGAGCTTGGAAGTGATATCTATCTTGATGGTAAGAAGTGCAAATTTTCTAACATACTGACATTCTGTATCTAGATTTAGTGTAATGCATTTTTATAATTTAAGGCAAGGTTAAAGAAAATGTTTGAAATGACAGAAAATTATTTTGGTTCTCAAATCACAAAATTTGACCACAGAGATTCACTTACTGATTTTGGTGCTCATTTATCTACTGACAGTGGTGAGCTATTTCAGTTTACTAAATAAAACAAAAGTTGTGTAATGCTTTGCATAAGGGGTCAGAATGGGCCCCATCATTATATGTTATAAAACATTATTTAGAAGTAATATTAAAGCTCTTATTTTTCCAATGTAATGTTTCCTAATCTTTTTTTTTAACTCTTAACCTGTTATCATCATCTGGTCTCCTGCCTTTTGTTTTCTGCTTTCTTTGTTGTATTCTGTTAGCTCTAGTATTTGCTGTGTTCCAATAAAAATCTGAGTTCACTGTAATATTAAATCATCACTAAACGTAGTTAAAAAGCTTGTTGAATGGTGATTTTTTTTTTTTCAATGTAAGCAAAACTGTCTTGCTTTTTGGCTTAAAAAAACACCTTGCTAACACTTTGATTAGTCTGTGAAATACCCATCTAGCCAAGTAAACAGTTGAATAGGAAACAGCGTCCTAAGTTTCTGCCAGAGAAATTCTGCAGATTCCTGGTTACTTACAATGAGAATAGCTGCATACCTCAGTGAGTCCCTGTGATTTGTTTCAATAACCTGTAAAATTTGCCTGTTTGCTGTTGTGAAAGAAAGGGAGAGGTATCTACCTTGTAAGAATTTCTCTCACCTGGTGTGATAGACCTTTTTTTTTTAAATACAAATATGAATTACAAATAAGAAAATAATTAGGTAACAAGTCTAATGCTCAGATATACTGGAAGCATTGAAAGTATTATAAGAAGTTGTAAATGGGATACTTTTATTTTTGTAGTTGTACAGGAAGTTTATAAATTGTTAAATTGTTAAATTCGCCAGATATTTCTATTCCATTTAAAGTTCTCTTTTAGGTATTGTGTCGGTTGTTGATGCAAAGCATGGATTGCAGGTAAAGTACTGGATTTTTTACATGGTTTAAAACTGCAACATTAGAAAAGCTATTGTATAATGTTCATTCAGATGAATTACATTGTTTTACAATAACTTTAATTCTTACAATGTGTGTGGTGGTATTTCAGTTGCTGTGGTACATTACTGCTATATTTTGAATGGAAACAAGGAAGTACCAATACTCATAGGAATTCAGATTCTTACCAGCACAGCAGCATGTCTGCTAAGAGTTCTCAGGATGCTAGATGCTTGATTCCTTCTAGTTCCATGACTTCACCTAGAAATCTTGGTTGTATTCTAGATAGGTATTTGGATTACTGTAAAAACAGTGGAGAAATGTGTCTTACAGAGTGTCATTGGCCTAAGTTACTTGAAAAGAGACCTCTGAAGAATGGGCCTCTGATACCGATGCATTAGGACTCAAATTGGGAAAGCTAATGTAATGGCAAGTGGCATGTGTGGTGAGGAGAGATGAGAAAACCAGATGTCTAGGTATCATTTCAGATTAGAGGGTTACTTCATTACATGGAAGCAGACAAAAAGAGCAGGTATTAGACTAATCTATATGATACGTAATGTAAAAACAGTAAAAGCTTACCAGTTGAACCGGCTGTTAGGATAGCAGAAATGGTGATTAAATCAACTATTTCAACTGTGTTTTGTTTTGTTTTTTGTGTGGGTTTTTTTGTTGTTGTTTTTTTTTTGTAATAGGTAGTAATAAATATAATTATTTGCAAATTAATTAACTTAGGAAGAAACTGACTACTTCAGTTAGGTACTGATTTTGCAGGATTCAAAATAAAAGTGACCAGAAAGAAGGGTAAAAAAACCCCAGGGTAAAAAATACCATCATACTGTGGAATTGTTTTTAATGTCTCTGTAATGTCTGTAAAAAGTTGAGAGAACTGAGGAATAATGATTAAAAAAATATGGAAGTGATCCCTCCTGTATAATATTTTTTTGTGTGTGTGGACTGTTGGGATTTCTTGTTTCAGTTGAGGTAATCTAACAGTTGATTTACTGAAAGGGGGCAGTCCTGTCCCCTCACCATTTTGTGTTGCACCTGGATAGAGCTAATGTAACTTCATAGCAAGCCAGTTTGCCAAGTTAAGCCATCATGTTTTGCATGGACTTCTGTGGAGGAGTTGGTAGAATATGTGGGGGGGGGATGAGAGCTGGTTTGTGTTTTTAAGCAGGAGCCAACTTTTAAATCAGCTGAACTATCCCAAGAAACCACAGCAAGTCTGAAGTTAGTCCCCTTTTTAGCTGGGTGCCTTCATACTATTTCGGATGTGTTTTATTATTTGCAAAAATGTTGTTCTGTGTATCTTTCTCTCCATGCAATGCTGATTTACTGGTTTGAAGCAAATAAAATCATGTTCCACACAGCAGCACTAAATTATTGTTAAAAAATTCATGTTTAAGCTTTCAAGTACTGTGTCAGAGACAGCACTAAAATGTTTTGAAACATTCAGCATTTCTATCCATTGTTATTTTTGACAGCTTAATGAAAATGCTTATATTGTTTAATCAGTACAACACAGACATCTGTTCAGAGTAGCAGAAACTTCCAGCTTTTTCTGCCAAGTAAACTACTTTTGCTTTGTATAAAGGACTTGATAACTTGTGCAGTTCCTCTGGTTGCAAAGTTTGACCTCAGCAGCTGCTTGTGGTTCAAAGAATTTTGAAGCCATACAGGTGATGGCATTGAGATAACAGGCAGCAGTTTAAGGGTGTCATGCTTCAATTAACAAACCCATTACAAGGAAAGCTGATAAGTAGTACCCTGTGACCAGTCAGCCAATAGAAACTGAAGTGATAATTGATATCATGGGTTGTCACTAATGGATTTGTCACCCACCAATCTGAAATACTCTTTTTTTTTTTTTTTTTTAATCAAGGGCAAGCAGTTGAAGTGCCAGTTCTCTGCTTCCCAGACTTGATATTTGGACAGAGCAACAAATCTGACAACATTTAATTCAATAGACGATTATTTCACAGAGGATTGCAAACAAAAAGTCAAAGGAGAGATTCCCTCCAAGTCATCCTGTTGTTATGCTGTGCTTAGGTTGTGAACAATCAGGAAATAGTCTTTTTTTTCTTTCTTTTTATTTTTTTTTTTAGGTGACAGACTGACACTATGCAATAATCAGTTTGTTTGGCTTTTTTCCAATCAAATGATGTTAGATGCCTGCTAATTCCACTTGAGGAAAAATTAGTTTTCTAGTTTCTTTTTAAATTTAAATATCTCCCTTGACAATTTCACTTTCATTTGGTATTCCTCTGACTTTAAAACCAAATTTCAGAATAACATTCCTGGTATGTTTAGAGCTCATGAAGGAATGCACAGGACTGATATTCCCAGAGATGGAAGGTGTGAGCTCTTACTAATGCTACAGCATCAATTTAAATTTTTACTTCCTCCAGGTGCTTGAGATACTTCTCTCCTGGAGATTGCTGCCTCCGTGGCAGAGTAGGCAGGACATAACTCACAGAATCATAGAATCAGCTAGGTTGGAAAAGACCTTCCGAGATCATCAAGTCCAACCATTACCACAGGTCTCTCAATATCACCACAAAACCATATCACTGAGGGACTGATGGTTTTTTAATGCTTCCAGGGACTGTGATTTCACAGCTTCCCTGGGCAGCCTGTTCCAATGCCTGAGCACCCTTTCAATTAAGAAATTTTTCCTCATATCCAATCTGAGCCTCCCCTGCTGCAGCTTGAGGCCATTACCTCTTGTCCTGTCACTTGTTTCATGGAAGAAGAGATGATCCTACCTCACTACAATCTCCTTTCAGATAGTTGTAGAGACCAGTATGGTGCCCCCATGAGCTTTCACTTCTCCAGGTTAAACAACATTAGTTCCCTCAGCCTTTCCTCATCAGACTTGTGCTCCAGACCCTGGAGCTTTTGGTGCCTTTCCGAGCAGATTATCCCAGGTGTGGCCTCACCAGTCCTGAGTACAGGGGGACAATCACTTTCTTGGCCCTGCTGGCCACACTGTTGCTGGTACAGGCCAGGATGCCATTGGCCTTCTTGGCTGCCTGGGCACAAGCTGGATCATGTTCAGCTTCGTCTGTCAGCACCCCCAGGTCCTTTTTCATGAGCAGCTTTCCAGCCACTCTTCCCCAGACCTGTAGCTTGGTGTCCCTCAGGTACTGGTGTTGGGACCGGTCTTGTTCAACATCTTTGTCGCTGACATGGACAGTGGGATTGAGTGCGCCCTCAGCAAGTTTGCCGATGACACCAAGCTGTGTGGTTTGGTTGATACACTGGAGGGAAGGAATGCCATCCAGAGGGACCTTGACACGCTTGTGAGGTGGGCTGATGCCAACCTTATGAAGTTTAACCATGCCAAGTGCAAGGTCCTACACCTGGATCAGAGCAATCCCAGGCACAGCTACAGGCTGGGCAGAGAAGAGATTCAGAGCAGCCCTGCAGAGAAGTACTTGGGGGTGTTGGTCGATGAGAAAATGAACGTGAGCCAGCTGCACTGTGCACTTGCAGCCCAGAAAGCCAACCGTATCCTGGGCTGCATCAAAAGGAGCGTGACCAGCAGGTCGAAGGAGGTGATGCTGCCCCTTTATTCTGCTCTCGTTAGACCTCACTTGGAGTATTGTGTGCAGTTCTGGTGTCCTCAACATAAAAAGGACATGGAACTGTTGGAACAAGTGCGGAGGAGGGCCACAAGGATGATGAGGGGACTGGAGCACCTCCCATATGAAGACAGGCTGAGAAAGTTGGGGCTGTTCAGCCTGGAGAAGAGGAGGCTGCGTGGAGACCTCATAGCAGCCTTCCAGTATCTGAAGGGGACCTCTAAGGATGCTGAGGGGGGACTCTTCATTAGGGACTGTAGTGATAGGACAAGGGGTAATGGGTTAAAACTTAAACAGGGGAAGTTTAGATTGGATGTAAGGAAGAAGTTCTTTACTGTGAGGATGGTGAGGCACTGGAATGGGTTGCCGAAGGAAGTTGTGAATGCTCCATCCCTGGTGGTGTTCAAGGCCAGGTTGGACAGAGCCTTGGGTGACATGGTTTAGTGTGAGGTGTCCCTGCCCATAGGAGGAGTTAGGAACTAGATGATCTTAAGGTCCTTTCCAACCCTAACTATTCTATGATTCTATGAATATAATACAGTGTTCCAGCTCTTTAGCACTGTAATCATAAAACTCGTGAGTTTTCGTAAAAGAGATTATAAGCTTTTGTAATGGTGAATGTATAAATGTGCTTTTCTGCCATAATTTTACAGAAAAATTCTAGATGCCAGCTTAGCTGGACTTCCTTTAATTGGAAATGAATTTGAATGTCATTTGAATATGATTAAGCCAAATATTTTCTTTTTTGCCTAGCACTTGACAGAGGAAAAGCCAGAAGGCCTTGTCAATGAAGCATCTCGGTATGGGTATATAAATTAATTTTAAATATCACTGCTAGGAACTGCACTGTATAGAAGTCCATTATAAATGGTTTCTTTTATAAGGTATTTTTCTCCTCCTTTGCTTTAAACCAAGGTAGATTGGTGTAATGAGGTAGAAAATAGAAAAGAGACTTCATGCTCCATTTGGTCTTTTTTCCAAGATCTGGCTTTTGTAATATATACTTTCAGAGGAATGGGATTTTATGTAAGTGAAGGGCAACCATCTGTGTTGGGGGGAAGAAAGAAATGCATGCTAGAATCTATCAGGTGTTCGAAGTAGAACTGGAGCTGGAGGAATAGTTTTTTGCTAGATACGGAGCCACAATGATTAAGGATAATTATAACAATAGAAGTCTTCATGACGCAAAGAGACTTCAAGTATGACTTTACAAAGACTACACACAAGTGAAATAGGGGCTTGTGAAGTTCATAAATCATCAAGAGTTTTGGATTGGATCACATTTTAAAAAACATCCCCCCCCCAAACTAGTATGTAAGTTAACAGATTTCTGGCATAGAAGAGCACTTCAAGGGGAAGCCAGTAATACTTTATTCACACTCCATGATATGCTAGTTTGATTAATACTTGCCTTTCTTTACTGACAATACTCACACTAGGGTTTTTTTGGGGCACTGTGAGGTGGTGTTTCTGCCTTACAGAATAAGTATTTATTTGTTCATGTTGTCTTTTTTTTCTCTTTTTTTTTTTATTTATTCCTCAATGCATAGGCAGGTTGCATTAGCTGATCTTATAATCATCAATAAAACAGATTTGGTTTCAGAAGAAGAGCTGAATAAAGTCATAACATGTGTCAGGTATGAAGCTTTTGGTGTAACTAACACTTTACTGGATCAAAGGTTATTTTTATTTAAACATAGTTACTTCTTTATTGCTCTTAATACAGAATTAGGTCATTCAACTGACACATACTGTTTGGAAGGGACAAGAGTCTGTCCCTATCTGAAGGCATTTCAATACTTTTCTTTGTGTACATAATCTTATCAGGTTGTCTGTCTAAGCTGCCTAGCTGCCTTAGCTGTCTAGCTAAGATTTGATGTTACTAAGGACAGGCCTTTGTATTAAGTGCCCACACTTTACATTTATGGGCAGCTGTTCTTATTTTTCAGAATTAGCATCAGGTCAAAAAAAAAAAGTTCTAGCAGATAAAGAATTCACTAGGAAATGCAAAGGTATATGGAGGAAGTCCCAAAAAAATGTCATGGGTACAGAAAAACCAATTGGTGTGAACCAAATTAGGGATCAAAGACATGCCCTGTCTTTTTCTGTCAATACCATGATAACCAAAATAGACTATTAGCACTTTTAAATACATTACAACTTCATTGATAGTTTGAATTCTAAAAGTAAAATGCCTAGACATAACAGAGTGTATCGTGAGAAGTCTTGAAGAGGAAAACGCTATTCACTCCAGTAGTATTTTGTCAGAACTTGTAAAGTGCCCCAGCCTTTACTTAGGAAATGAAAAAGTCTCAAAACCAAAGTAGTTTGGGATGTTTGTTAGTTTGTTCAACAAGTTGATAACAGGAGTGGTGTTATTATGGTGCTATTTCTCATGCTGCTTTCCATGGTTAATTTGTTCAAACAATGTATTATAGTGGCATTTTCATCTAAAGATTTTTCTATTTTATTTTAGGTCAATAAATGGACTTGGTAAAATTCTAGAGACACAAAGATCAAGGTATTAAATGGCCACTATTACTAGGTACTAAATCCTGCTTCTTTTGTGACAGATTTAATTATGCTATTAGATCAGTTTTCTTAAAGGAAAACTATTAAATTAGAAATATTTAATATTTATTTTACAAATAAGCGTCTAGATAGAGGATTTTTTAAGAAGTAAAAATGTATTTTTCTTTTGTATTTTTCTTTGCTGATGTTCATATTGTACACTTCACTACTAACATGTAGCTTAGCTTATAGAGCTAATCATAGTGGGTTTTATTTGACTTTGCAATGTAACTGTTTCTATATTTTTTAGTTACATGAGAAGTGGATTTTAGAAAAGCTTGGGCTTTATATCCCCCTCCCCCCGCATTTTGTTCTAAGTTTTTTTATGAATATGGCTTTCAATTATTAAAGTTATATTTTAGTTATATTGCCATTTATGGAGTAATAGCATTTGGAAAGTTCCTGAAAAATGCTAATACAGGTGAAGTTTAATTTGTTTCAGCTTTTTTTTTTTTAAGGGAGTGTTAAAAGTAGAAATTCAGAGTTTCTTGCAACTTGTTAATAAGATCTTGTAAAAGAGCGGCTTGCAAAGCTAAGTTATCTCTGAGCTAATCACTGATCACGTGCACTATAAAGTTTTCTTTCTGTTGTGTCAGTTGGAGGGTTTTTCTCGCGGCGGTTCCTGCAAATAAATTGTTACTAGAAAATGACCTTGAAAGCAGTGCACACAAGTTTATAAGAAGGAAAAGTAATTGTGTTTGTTTTGCTATTTTTCATTGAAATTCTGAATCAGGTTTTTTTATTTAAAAAAAATTTATAGGGTATTCCCAGGCACATTAGGAGAGCAGTGTGTCTTTCAGACTGCTGGGGCTAATTTGCGTACTGTTACATGAAATATTTGATTATATTAGCATAAACTTGTAATACAAGTTCCTGCTTTTAAGCTATTTTGAAGGGAAAATAGTAGACATAATCTTGATAAAACACACTTGGCTTTTTAAATATATTGCCTGATTAGATAGGACCAGCAAGTAGAATATGTATTTTGTTTGGTAACCCAGGGTTTTGAAGGCAAATGTTTATCTGCTTTCAATCTAAAGATCAGCTCAGTTTACATTACCAAAAATACTAATCTTGTTAATGTTTCTATTGGCTTTAACTTATTCTGATCACTGGAATGTTTATGCTCTTTTTTTTAAAAGGTGTACTATGAAAGTCATTCTTTTTAGTGATTATCCTGTTAGTGTATAAGGATTATTCTCATACTGTTTTTATTACTTTCTTCAAGGAGCTATGTGAAATGTTTGAATAGGTTTGACAACTTCACACTGTATTCTTGTTAACTTGCTAACTGTTGAAGAATGAACAATATTATAAATCATAAATTCTGCCGCTAACAAGTGTTTCACAGTCATTTATTGTTCTAGAGATCCTCAGTAAATAATTTCTCGTAAGTCATCATGTGTCTCTTACATAAAAAGTAATTTTCTTCAATATATTTATTGTCATTTGGGACTTGTGTTCAAAACAGCAGGTGTGGATAAACTTGTGTGCATTACTTGAAATCAAGGTTTTAATGTTCACCATTTTTTTTCTTGTTTTAATGTATAAATAGCTAGATTATGCTGCAAAATTTAGACTTTTGTTACTTTGTCCTCTTATGTAAATTCAGTATTACTATAGTATCTCATAAAGTTGTTGTATTAGAATAATGCTACTGGCCTTTTCCTCTGTCTGTAAAGAGAGGTGAGAATGCTTGAGGACTCCAGGTTAAATTTAACCAGGAGTTTGTTCTTACGATAAATCTTGGATATTTGCTCATAGCTAATCTTGCAATATCAAAATTTGTCTATCTTATTTTTGAGACTACTATTATTTACAGTTTTTGTGACATCTGTACAGTATGGAGTTTTTGCATCTAATAAATGTACTTGGAGTGCAGCCTGAATGATTGAAAGACAAACAACAAATACTGCAATGGGATGGAGTTGAAGAGATACCATTGTAGCATTTAGAGTTGAAATTCTTAATAGTAGCACTTTCTTTATAGCCTATTTCAGTTTTGTTTGCTAATAGCATGTCAGTATAAACTGCATATATTCCAGGGGTTTGTGTTTTGAGAGGGTCTGCATTAAGGGTGGAGAATAACTGGTGGGAAGACCTTCAGGGTTCTTTTCCCATTTAGGGAAAATCAGTTATTCAGGCATCCATTATGAGCAATTTATCATCTTCCTTGGAAATACCTTGGTTTTTACTATATCTTTAAGAATAATGTTTCTGTGCTTATATATTATTGTGTAAATAACCACTGCCATTTCCTTGTAGGAGACAGTACCATCCACTAACATTCAAAAATAAGGATTGATGGCATTGGTATGATAGACAGGAAAACTAATATAAGCTTCAGTAAACCATTTCAAAAATAATTATTTAACTATACACAATATTTAAATGTAGCAAAAATACAAATCTTGCTTTCTTTCTTCTGTTTAGAGTTGATCTCTCCAGTGTCTTGGACCTGCATGCTTTTGACAGTTTATCTGGAGTAAGGTATGGTAATAATTTTGCTGTGCTGTCCTTTGTTAGAAATATGTCTGTTGTATAAATACGTGCATGAAATAGACACTCAAATCCCGGCTCAAATTTCCATCTGGGTTTCTTAGAAATTCTAGCTTTCTCACTTGTTTAAAATTTTCCCTTTATAAGTGGTAATCTGAGACTGGGGTTTTTTCCCACTTGTGTGCAGAAAGGTTTTTTGACCTTGTAAAGTTAGATGAGCCAGAGTGTGCGTGGGTGGTTGGCTTTTTCCCTGGTTAAAGTTTTGCTTTGGTACTATTATTAGAGTAGGTTTGTACGCTCTCCACTGTTTCTCTTAAAGTACTTAAAAGTTTTCTCACTTCATGTCATGATGGACTTGAGGCCTCCTTAGTTTTTAGAGAAAAGAGGGACTGAGGTTCAACAGCAGACAAAGCCACAACAAATTCTGGTTACTGTGTTCTACGTTCTTGTTTCTTTGTTAGTGCCTAATGTGTGCTTCAGCATGCTAGAGGGTGGAAAAAATAAAATTGGACGTGAGGGGAGAAGGGCTTTCTGTTTACTTTGTGTGCTGAAGTTGTTCAGCAAAGAGAGCAAGGATTACTGGAGAAATCAGTAAAGGAAAGGAGGGAATATGTAACTGGGGGCAGTATCAGCTTTGGTTTTCTTCCTGGATGCATTCTGTTCACTTCAGGTGAAGGAATGTAGCCACTTATTCACAGAAGGAAGAAATTGCGGAAGACGCAAGCTACTAACCTCTAGTAGATGGGGTGCACTCATGAGATTTCCGAGTGAAGTGGTGCAGTACTATCCTTGCTCTCTGCTGCCCTTTCTGCTGGCACTGACTTTTGAATGATTAGTGAAAAGTATTGTTTGAAGAAAGTTAAGGGAGGAGGAAGGCCAACATATTTTTCATGGACAGTATATAACGGTTAGGTCATAAACCAGATCATAAACGTCCTGAGTTCTTATGATGGATCAGCTAGCTAAACTGACTCATCCTGGAGCCACACAACACAGAGAAAGCATTAAGAAGATGTGAACCAGAAAAGGATTGTTCTTGATAATGGCAATTCACAGTTAGATGTGATTAGCTCTAATACTAGATGGCATTCTGCAAGATTTACTAGGAAGTTCTATGCTCTGCAAATCTCAGAAAGTCCTTAAAGAGCTAACCAAAAAACCCCACAACCTTTCTTGCTTTCCTCAGTCTATTCTTCTCACTTATCTCACTCGTAGTTTCTTTAGAGGTTCTCAATATTTGTTATTAAAACAATGCAGCATTTAAAGACAAATTATAAGAACACCAAGAAGGTTGTGGACTGTTTTAAGCGAAGTTCCATTTCTTTTGTTTTTGTTGGACCTCTGTACAATTAAATTGTTTACCCTCTTCATATACAGAAATCCCTACCTAAAATATTAAAGGCGTTTTCTGCCCTATCAAATGCAGCGGAAAAACTCTTTGAAACCAGCACCATTTGAGCACAAGTAATATGCTAGTACACTAATAAAATTGTCCTTTTAACTGCATATTACAGTAAGGATTTCTGTCAGCTTAGCAGATACAGCATCCTATTGGTGTGACTGTACTGGTAGAACCTACTACATTGCACATGCCCTGAAGTGACAGGAAACACATCAAGAGTTCTGGATTCTGTGGAATGCAGTATGAGAAGAAGGCAAAGAAACCAAAGAAGATGCAAGAAGTAGGAGTGTAAAATGTTACTTCAGGAACAGTCATTACCTTTTCCACCGTCACTGAATGCTTCTTAAAATTCACAGTCATCGAAGTAGGAAGAGATTTTTATGGGCAATCTTTTCTGATAGCACCATAGTGACTTTTGCTGGGGTATTCTTTCTTCTGCATATTGGACATAAGAGAGGAATGTTCTCTGGTGCAGGAAACAGTATTTGAAGAAATCTTGCACTGTCTTTCTTAAAGATAGATGTGGTTGTGTGGTCTAAAGTTGCAGTAACTTTTTCTGTTGTCATACAAAATGATACTGTAAGACCCTGGATCTTAGTTTTCAAAAAAGCCCCCAACTTCCTTTATGAAGTAAAGAGGACCAGTTTTAAATTAGCAGGCACACTGCACAGTAGGAATGAGCTGTATGGCAAGAGTTGAAATGGAAGCTGATATATAGGATTCCAATTACTGCTACAGCTTTGCCATTATTTTTCTTCTGTTCAGATCATTTTCCTAGAGTTGGTTCTTTTTTTTTTGTGGGCTTTTTTTTTAATCAACTTCTAATAAATGGACAAATTCTTACCTTCATGATATAGTTTGGCTGTTGTTCCTATACAAAGCAGTATCAAGGTTGTTTTACTTCTGGAAGTGTATATATTTAAAATCCCAAAGATACTGCAAGTTGTCACTAAAATCTAATAGTATTTTTTTAAAAAATAACATTCTAACACAAATTATCAACTAGATCAAACCAATATGGCTAAACATCCGTATTTTGAGATTAAAATTGAATTAACAGTTAAGGCTTATTCTGAGTGTGCAGTCTAGCTTTGCTATTTTAGTTTTGCTTTTCAGTACTGCAGAGTGTTTAAATTTTGGTATTTTGTCTATCCCACTCAAACACGACATTTAACTTCTTTTCAGTTTGCAGAAAAAGCTGGAGCATCTGAAGACAGCCCATGCACACCTAGACAAGGTAATTAGCAAAAATACTGCTTCATCTTTTTGCAACAACCTTGTTGTTACAAAACCAGGTAATAGCAAGCATTGCACGCAAATCATGTTACCTTTTCAGAATGTTTCAGTTAGGAAGTAATGTGTTTTAAGCTCTTTGGAAGGTTATATAGAATACAAATAGGAATGTGCTTTGTTGTAGATTTGTTTGCTTCTTTATTTTTGAAATCTCTTCCTACATATTCTATTTATAAAAAAATTTTCATGTTAGACAAGTATGGATAGTAAAAAAGATGTTGATTATTTTCTGTTCGCTAGGATTGTGATGAAGATCAGAAATTGTGACAAAGATCAGTATCCCAAGAAAATAAAATTCTTAAGCATATTTGAAAGACTGAGCTTACTAGGTTTAAATTAAAATTGTTAGGCTTTCTTTGAGAACAAACATCAGTTACAGCAAAGAATTACATAGTAAAAGCTAAAGGCATTAAACCATGCAAAGGAGTGTTTATGCCTCTTCAGTACACACCCAAACAGAACCAGGTAGTATTATACAATACAGCAATTTGGGGCAAGATGGAAGAGGATTGTTTTGGGTTTTTTTTTTTTTGTTTTTTTTTTTTGTTTTTTTTTTTTTTAATTTCATGTGGGTATATAGTTGCTTTTTTATTAGGCCAAGTTAGGAAATGTAATTAATTAATGTAATGTAATGAAATGTGTATTCAAGTTGGTAATAATAACTGGGCCTTTCCATTTGCAGGGTATAATTACAGTGACATTTGAAGTTCCAGGAAATATAAAAGAAGAAAACTTAAACCTCTTCATTCAGGTAAGTAATACATCACTGGCAACGGAGAAATCATTGTGGCTGTTTATAAAAAATCATCCCGTGCCATTCTTTTCTGTTTATGAAAACATTTTTCCTTTTCATAGGATCTTCTGTGGGAGAAGAATATGAAAGATAAGACTGGGCACACCATGGACATCATAAGACTGAAGGTTAGTCAGAAATCTCTGTTACACCTAAAAAACTGTGGTGTGTTGTCAGTTACAGACTTATCAAAGGCATTACTGGATCACTGTAGTAGAGCAGATAAAATGGAGAACAGTAGTTTTCTGTTGTTCCATGTAGAGTTAGTTATCTGCTGGCTGGTGGAACAACTCAAAAGGAGATAGCTGACAGAGAAGCAAACATTGATCGATCTTGTTTAGAATTGAGAGGGAAGATACACAGTCCTAAACATTAGTGGCAGAGGTAATAATCAGGACATAGTTAAACCAGTTTTCTATTTTCACCTCCATTGCTTTGAAAGTTTCCATCCATCTCACATAAATGTCTCCTTATGTAGGGATTAGATACGATAGATTGGATGCCATATATTGCTATTCGTAATTGTCATTGTTGGCATAATATACTGAAGTTGAATTTGGCATAACACAGCAGTGCAGTACTAGTTGCGGTCTACACTTACAACTTCTTGTAATTCAGGAAGTGTTGGAATTCAGAGTATTGTCAGCCTGTGGTTCTAAAGGTGCAGCCTGTAAGTATTCATCTTCATGGGTGCTTCAAATTTTTTTCAGTTGCATGGTTTTGAGAGAGTATGGGTGACAATTTAGGATATTTTTGTTTTCCTTACACAAATAGGCAAGTAAATCATTAAAATATAAGAATTGAGTTTGTCATTTAGTAGGCTGTAAGGAATACAAGAAAATACACTCTGGTTTGTTTTCTGAGAACACTTGTGCATCGTGGATAATGACATAATTGTTTTAGTATCATTGGAAGAAAGGTTGTATTCTTGCTTTTTCACTAACAAAATAAGAATATACTTGTCTTCGCTTTCCTGACAAACAGAAGAAAACAGCCACTGATTCATCTTAAGCCATCTGAAAACAGTACTGCTATTCATAATAACATTCTTTATTATTTTATTGAGCATTGGAATCACAGTAGTTCTTTAGGAGATCTGAGGCCTGTAATAATCAGTGTGCTTGCTCTCAGTCACATACAAATACACTAAAGCAAATGAACCACACGTAATTATGAGTGGGTTCCAAAGTTTGTTCCTTTTGTATTTATATCTTACCTGCAGTCATAATCCTTTTGGTGGTAATAGAAAATTTCAACTAATATGTCAAATGCAGACCTTTTTTTATGAAAGATTTTTAACTTTGTTTTATGAAGTTGTACATGAAGTGATGAAAACTTTTTTAATACAGCTTTTGATATTTGGGTTAATGAGCTGACTCTGACAGTATGCTTTTCTAATTTTGTTGCTAGTTGGTTTACTTCACAAATGTTTGCTCATTCTCCAGTATTCAGGGATTCTGATTCAATGTAGTGAATGTACTGACTATGACAGCTTATTCAGAATAATCTGAAGTCAAACATTTTTGCTCATTTTACATCATCTTTTTTTGGCAGTCAATCTTTCAGGTACTCATATGTCCAACACCATATATATATATATTCCGAATGGCACAGTAGCTATCGACATTTTATTTTTGCTCAGAAATGCAGGTACTGACCAAATGAGGAACAGGAGGCGGAGTATGGCAGAGTAATGATTAGTCTTTAAGAAAATAAGGAGATGTGAGAATGGATGTTACAACTAGACATGGTCATACTACATGGTTATTTTGACTAACTGGTGCATAGTTGCCAGAAATATTTTTCCCTGCTTGGCCTAGTTTCAAAGCTGGGCATTTTTCCCCTTCTTAAATAGTTCATTTTAAAGGTTTTTTTGTGTATCCTAACAGTTTTTTTTCTGATAAGGGACTGGTATCTATTCAAGGCAAATCTCATCAGGTGATAGTCCAAGGTGTCCATGAGCTCTATGATCTAGAAGAGACTGCAGTACCCTGGGAAGAAGGTGAAAAGAGAACAAATAGACTGGTCCTAATAGGTAGGAAGAAATTACATCTCTCTTCATTTGACTTTAAGAAGCTGTTCTTTCAGAAGGCAGTCCTGTGATTTGTCGAGTGAAAAGCAGCTGGCCTAAACTGACCAGAATAATAGCAGTGAGTATGTTCAGGACAACCTCCAGTCAAAGTTTTACCCATCAAGACCTCCTGCTGTTTTATATTGTAGCTGAGAGGAATCGACAGTATTCCTTTTGGTGACATTAGAATAACAACCCATAATCATATATTTGGTGATGGGAATGGTTTGAATGTTTGAGTGAGTATTCAGTAGCTCTAAGGTGATTATAGCCATTAAAATGTATAAAATACGGGTTTTTTTTTTTCTGTAAAGCTGTACAGAGGCCAAGCTGTACATTTCTGTTTCCTGCTTACCACTCTTTGCTTTGCAAAGTGTCTCTATGACCAGAAAACTCCAGTTTTTCCTCTTTTCCCTTACTTGCACAGCTTGAAGTCTGTTGTTGCCTGTAAAAGCTAAAGTTACCTTGTTACCTGCAGCTTAATTTTGATACTGCTGTTTTCACTCACTGGAATAATAAACCTTTTGTTTGCTGAGAAGATTGGCAGATTGCTACTTGCATGCTTTTTTTTTTTTTAAATACATTGTAAAATAAAGTTAACTAATTTATTTCTCTTTACAGGCAGAAACTTGGATAAGGAGGCAATCAAAGAAGTTTTCATATCCACTGTCATAGTTTAAGCCCAGCGGATAATTCAGCACCCTGCAACCATTTGCTCTCCTCCCCTTCTCTCACCTGCTCCAGGTTGGATGGGGAGGAGAACTGAAAGAATATAAACCCCACAGGTTGGGATAAGAACAAAATCTAAAGTATAATACAAAACCACTATTACTAGTAATAATGATAAGGGAAATAACAAGAGAAGAAAATATAAAACTAAAAAGGGGAAAAAAAAGCAGCCATCAGTAAACAAAAGTGATGCACAATACAACTGATTACCATCCACAAACCGATACCCAGCTCAACTCAAGAAGCAATCTGATCTTCCGAGTGACTCCCTACAGTTTATATACTGGGCATGATGTGCTGTGGTATGACATGCTGTGGTACCCTTTTGGCTAGTTTGGGTATGGTCTCATGTCTCTGCTCTCTCCAGGCTTCTCATGCCCCTTCTCACTGGCAGAGCATGGGAGACTGAAAAGTCTCAGGTACGATCAGGGTTAAGCATTACTGAGCAACAGCTAAAATGCCAGTGTGTTATCGACACTGTTTGCAGACTAAAGCTGAAACTCAGCACTGCACCAGCTACTAGGAAGGAGAAAACTGTTACAGTTGAACCCAAGACTGTCACAGTGAGAAATAAGGAAATGGTTGACATCAAACTACAAAAAAGATGAAATGTGTGTACTTAACCCTGCAAGCTTTTTATGACAAAAAGACTGAATGAAATGCAATATAGCAGTTTCTTTTTCCTCTCAGTTTACACAACAGTTAAATCCTGAATTTCTTCTAAGAATCTGAGGTGACCTGCCATAGGACCTTTAATAGTCTACGATCAAACACAAAGAATTCAACATTTTGGATCTGGCTTAAAGTTCATGGAATCATAGAATCACAGAATACTTGGGTTGGAAGCAACCTTCAGAGGTCAGCTAGTTCAATCCCCAGGTTATATCAGTAGCATTATGTACCTGTGCAGAAATGCAAACAGGAAAAAGGCTGTTGACTGTGCTGTGCATCAGGTGTTACATAGGAATATGGTAAACATGTTTTAAGCCTAGTGCCTTCTTCCAGCCAACTCTCTTGCTGCTGGAAATGAAGCAACAGTGATTATTGCAAGTGATGTAATCACAGTAAAAAGTGTTTAGAGTTTACAATTAAACTGTCTTCCATCTCTTTTGACTTATTTTGTGACTTTTTTTGAATGCGTACATCCATCTTGGGTACCGCTGAACCAGCAGAGATACTAAACCTGTTGTATAAATGAAACTAAAAATTCTTAATACCGGAGACAACATGGAATATATACTGTCTGTATAAAAGCTGTGAGTGCAGTGTTCACTCCCATAGCCAAGTGTTTAAAGATGAAGCTGAACTCATAGATCTTTTAGGCCATGACCCTGCCTGTTCTGGATTTTGGGGCCTGGCAGCACTACATTCTCACTGTGTTGTCTAGGCTGCCCTGTGTGATTTGTTAATGGGGTTCTGTGACACTGCTTCTGGGTGCTGTTTTGAAAATTTAGTTTGAAGCTTCTGTCTCTGCTCTTTACTTCTACAGTTTAGAGCTGAGCTTCCTGCCCTGTACCTTCTCTGATAGCCACTGTTCACCTCTAAGCTTTAGAGAGATTTGTTGACTACAGCTGAGTTAATGCGAAGTGAGTGGATGTAAAAGGGTGAGATGGAATAAAAAATATTTCAGAACAATAGGGCATGCAGCAGATTTGAAGAATGGACTTTTAGCTATATTGCCACATGGATACTGCTGTGTCTGGATAAGTAGGGAACTTATTTCAGTACTAGAGGTATGTTGTCACATACCTGACAGTTGCTTTAGTAAAAGAGGTGCATTAAACTGAAAAAAAAACAAAGGAGACAAAGGAGGCCATTCCCTTATCAGCAGTCCTAAAAAAATTCTTTTTGCTCCTGCTATCATAAATGAGTTTGGAGTTTGTTTCCAAAGAGGAGAGGGAGGAGACATTGCTAATCTTTCACTGCCAGGACCTGGTGTCTCATTTGATTAAGATGGGTGTATTGTTGAGTGATGTTGTGACTGTTTACCTTAGCAATTGCATCTCTTCATTTTTTAAAAAATAATGCATGTTCTAACGATGCATGTTTTGGATTGCATAAATGACATTTAGTCCTGCATGAAAGTTAGCCAAGTAATTGCCTTCTGTGTTAGGCATTGAGTTACAAATGTTCTGTAAATGCAAAATTGCAGATAATAGATTTTTATTTGTTGCTGCTTATATTTCCACTTGTCTTAGAGAAAGCAGCCAAATACCTTCTATCTTATAAATGCCTCATATAATTGAAGAACTGTTTAGAAACATTAGTGTCTGAAGTGCCCAACTGATCATTCATTTTCCATTTGAAAAAGAAGTTCAGAGACTTAACAAGAGCTTCAGCCATGAGTCATGAGGCAGCAAGCTATAGACGGCTAAACATTTGCTGTTTGTCATAGCTTAGGTGATTGTTTTATTTTCTCACCAACCACATACTCCAAAATTCCCATGCGAACTGCCCGTAGACTGGAGTTTCTTTGTTGCTATAATGGGGCACCTGCAGCTGGGCATCATCTGTATAGCTGCTGTTATTCTTCCTCTCTAGGAGTTCCCCTGCACTGCTCGCAGCAGTAGCATCAGAGAAGCTTCCGTCAGTATGCACAGCTGTTTCTTGTTTCCTGTGTATTTCCATGGATCCCAGAGACAAAGTGCAAGCATTTCCATCCTTGCTGGCTTTCAGGATATCTACTTTGCCTTATCTTCTCCCATTCTGTTTGCCAAACTGTTTTCAGATACTTCATGGACAGAAGGGTGGAAAACTGCCAGGAGCTATTACAGCAGATACACAACACATTCTGGCTCTTTCTGATAAGATGGCAAAAAAGGTGGTTTGGACTTTTCCTGGGTTCTGTGGGGTTTAGAGTCGTGTACGGGGTGTTCATATTCCTGTGAGTGCAATTTGCTGAAGAAAAACATTGTGTGGAACTGGGAACAAGACCACTGTGAAGCATCCAGTGCTTTTGAAGATGGAATTTTTACTTGCCAGTCTACAGGGCCTGTCCTCTCTACACACCCCTTTACAGTACTGGATATCAACAAAGATGATGGCAACTGGAAGGGCAAAATAAACAGGATTGCCCTACTATTCCTGGATATAAATCCTCACAAGGCTTCCTGTGGCAAAGTGCTGCTGGCACCATGGGCAGGGTAGCTGTGCTGGGGCTGTTGCTCAGAGGGGATTCAAGCCCTTTACCCACTGCTGGTGATTTTAGGTGATGAAACATCCCTGAGGCAGCACAAAAACCTACAGTGCACCTGTATGGGTGAAAACGTGGGGAGGATTTGTGCTACAGTGCAATATAGGAACATATCCATAGCATGTGTACGTGTCCATAGTGAGGAAAGGCGGGGGGAGGAATATCTTGGAGGAAGCTGATATCAGATGATTGGCAGTTCAGCTGAAATAGACAGAGTCAGCATGGGTAGGAAGGGGCTACCTGGATGCCAGTCTGCTGATTCTGCACCCCAAGAAACACCCTGTGTCAACAGGTCATAAGAATAAAGGAGTACAAGCCTGGTGTGACTGGGATGGAGTGCATGGATTTGCCACCTGTGGTGGAAAGGGGAAAACAGTGGGCAGAACTCTAGACTCACCTCCCATTGGGGATCACACCATGGGGAATCATGTGTCAACTAAAAAAGTGGCAAACCCCTGTGAGAAGTCCTATACAAAGGCTTTATGTCAGTAGGACTACAAATTTCTGTTAAAGCTGAGGCAAGCCCTCCACTCCCCAGAGCCCTGGAGCTGAAGTGGTTAAATGCAACTTGGGGGACACTGCGTGACCCTTGTTTCACCCCAGCAAAGTGCAGGATGCTGCTGACATCAAAGGCAGTAAGTAGGTCAGCTATAACTTGGGCTTGCATTATGCGCAAGACGTCCAAGTCTTGTTTCTATCCATGTCACTCTGCAGTATGGCACTGCCAGGGGCAGTTTTGTACTGAGTGTGCAGGGCCTCAGGGCTGAGGTTTGACATGCCTGGTCTGGCTGATCCTTAGTTTGTGTTACTTGGTTTACCTGTGACAGCAGTTTCTCTAACCAATGAGGTGTCTATTGCTAATTTGTTTTACTTTTTTATCCTTGTATGTTACTATCATAGATTTTTTAGAGCTAGCGGCAGCAAGCCATCATTCTGTGTGGAATGAGGTATTTATGGCTCTAATGTAATGATTCAGCATGGAGAGGTGTGGGGTGATAAGAGATGGGGCACAGGCTTAGCACTGGGATCCTACTGCTATGAACAATTGACTCCTGGTGAATTAAAACAATGCAGATCTGGATAAAACTGGGTTTAAAGGTAAAAAACGAGAACAGATTCCTGGTATCTAGGATTTGTAAATGTATAGACTTCCTTATCTGGACCTTTAACTAATATGTCAGCTGCATATTGAGGTGGGAGTATGTTAGATTCTGCCTGTTTAGTTAACATGGTAAAGGCAATGGTCAGTCAGTCAGTCATGGCTTGACTTCGCGAACGAAGATTTGGGAAGGGCATTTACCCACGCTTACTACAAGCGCGCTGATGACTAAGAAGGCCAATGTGGGATAGGCAAATCCGGCTACAAAAAGCACAGCAGAAGGTCTCCTTGGGTGGAACAGGTGGGACACGATTCTTCCTGCGTAGTCTTTTCTCCTCGAGACTAGTTCTTCGTGAGCACTCAAAGGAGTCAGCGGCATTATGTATGGTGTGCCTCCAAGTCTCCCGATTGGAGGCCAAGGTGGACCACTGATGGTAGTCAATATGGCCAAGGCTAAGGTATTGTTTCAGGGAGTCCTTGTATCTCTTCTTTGGGGCACCTCTCTTGCGGCTACCGGTGGCAAGTTCACCGTAAAACACGATCTTGGGGAGGCGGTGATCCTTCATCCTAGAGACGTGCCCTGCCCAGCGCAGTTGCAGTTTCAGCAATGTGGCCTCGATGCTGGTGACCCCTGCCTGTTCGAGGACAGTGACATTAGACACATAGTCAGTCCAATGGATGTTTAGAATTGTACGGAGGCAGCGCTGATGAAAGCGTTCCAGGAGTTGCAGGTGATGACGGTAGATGACCCATGATTCAGACCCATATAAAAGAGTAGACAATACAATGGCTCTGTAGACACTGATCTTTGTACTTTTCTTCAGGTGTTTATTACACCAGACTCTTTTATGGAGTTTTCCAAAGGCACTATATGCCTTTGCTATTCTGTTGTCTATCTCTCTGTCGATCGTGGCATCCGAGGAAATGATGCTTCCCAGATAGCTGAACTGCTGAACTGTCTTAAGCTCTGACTCGCCGATGGTAATATGGGGATGGCGATAATCTTCTTGCGGTGCAGGTTGGTAGAGGACTACTGTCTTATTCAAGCTGACTTCCAGCCCAAAAACCTCAGCTGCCTCCGCAAAGCAAGATGTTAAACGCTGCAGAGCTGCTTCTGTGTGGGCAACAAGGGCGGCATCATCAGCAAAGAGCAGTTCACGGACAAGATGGTTTAGGGTCTTAGTGTGGGCCTTCAGTCGCCTTAGATTGAATAGGCTACCATCGGTACGATATCGAATATAAATGCCGTCTTGTTCGTCGAGGTCTGCTGTAGCCCTTTGGAGCATCATGCTGAAGAAGATTGTGAATAAGGTCGGTGCGAGAACGCAACCTTGTTTCACACCATTGGTTATTGGGAAAGGCTCAGAGAGTGCATCACCATACCTGACTTGGCCTTGCTGGTCCTCATGTAACAGAATAATCATTTTCAGGAACTTGGGGGGACAACCTAATCGTTCCAAGATCAGCCACAAGCCTTTCCTGCTCACAGTGTCAAAGCTTTGGTGAGGTCAACGAAAGTTACGTATAACCCCTTATTCTGTTCTCTACACTTTCCTTGCAATTGTCTGAGAACAAATACCATGACTGTGGTACTTCTATTAGCCCTGAAACCACACTGACTTTCAGGTAGAAGTTCTTCTGCGATGGCAGGTACTAGTCTGTTCAATAGTATTCTTGCAAGAATTTTACCAGCAATGAAGAGCAGAGTTATACCACGGTAGTTTGAGCAGTCTGATTTGGCACCTTTTTTCTTATACAGAGTGACGATGATTGCGTCACGAAAGTCTGACGGTATTTTGCCTTGTTCCCAACAGC